TCCTCTGTTTCTCCCCAGTACCATTATGACCATCTTCCCACCTGGGAGTCCCGTCTTCCGATGGTATATCAACATAGCTCTGGTTGTATTGATCCATTTCATTTTCATGGCAAAAATACTGGGATGGGTTGTCATTACCTTCCCCAGGGATTGTATTTAGTCTGACCTCTCTGCCATGACCTTCCCGTCTTGAGTGTCCCTTCACGGTTTGGCTCGTAGCATCATCAAGGTGCTCAAGCTCCAGCATCACGACAAGGCAATGATCCTTTACTTTGGCCACATAGTGAAAAGACAGGAAAGCTTAGAGAAGATAACGATGCTGGGGAAAATGGAAGGAAAAGGGAACAGGTGTTGACCAAGGGCAAGATGGATGAATGGTATCCTTGAAGTGACTGGCTTGACTGGGATGGCCAACAGGGAGCTCTGGCATGGGCTGGTCCATGAGGTCATGAAGAGTCAGAAGTGACTGAACGAATAAACAACAACAACATATTCCCACCCCATTTCTTCCTTCATCCCTTCCAACTAAAACTAACAGCTAAACTTATCCTCCTTTAAAAAATTAATAACACAACGGCCTTCTCCATTCCTCAAAGGCAACGTTCAAACTTCTACATTTTCTTCTTGTTGATGTGAAATATGATTAAACTACTTGGCAGTTGGAGGGAAAGAATGACCTCAAGGGGCCCTTGGAAGAGTGTTATTTTTGTATCAATTTAGATTAGAACTCTCGCCAGTTAAATTTGATGAAGCAATGCTAAAATTACTCAACCCAACAGATATGATCTCATGCAGCCAGCCCCCATAGTTGCTGTAGCTATAGAATAAATTCAGAAGGGAAAATATGCGTATCTCACCTTGTGATTTAGCCATTTTGCACTACTAGCAGACCTTGTGTATGGCTCTTTGTCCAGGATGATCATTGTTGAAAATGCTCTTTCTTTTGGACAGCAGTTGGCCTCAAAACCCAGTTCCACACCTAAAGGTTCTCAAAAGCAGTTATCTTCCTCCCCCAATAAAAGTCCTGGCCAGCCTTACCATTAGGGAATCACCACGGACTCTAGATTTTGAACATTATAAAAGGGAAGCAAATTCTTAATTATTTTGCAGGTTATTATGGTTCTTTTACAGTCAAAGATGGGGAAAAGGATTTGAGATTAGTTGTCCTGAGGTGCCAAAATAATTGCGCTGTTGTAGTGTATTATGTTCATTCACTTGCAAGGATCCAGACAACAAAATATCTTGGGTTCATTCTAGTAAAATTTGGAATCCAAGCCTACTCTCAGAGCAAGGAACTCTGTCTCAGTATCTTGCATTCTTCTCTTGTAAAATATTTTGTTTTGGGGCTCAAATCCTAGGTGACTAACTTAGAAGAACTGAAGAACATATTAAGCGTTGAACCAAACTATCCTTATGTGATCATCCTGGGAGATTTCCTATATTTCAGGGCTAGAACATCCAACTTGGAACCTTAAATCATCCAACAACATGTTGCTGTGTCTCACTAAAAGCACATCTCCAATGTTCCTTTCTGGGTAGTGTAGTGTCTATATTTAGAAATGACAACTTTCACAAGGCATTAATTAGACCAGATGGCAGTGTAAACGCTTAACAGGAAACATATGTCTGATAAGAAAACAAACACCAACAAACCCCTACACAACACAATGTACATTTTGATAGGTGTGTGTAATTTGTGAACATCTCTCTGTTAAAAATAAAATTATCTGCTATTTAACTGTAAGAATTTGGATGATATAATGTTGTATGAGCTCATTTGTACAAGGAAATGAACAGGCAAATGTCTGATAAGGAGCTCGTAATGACTTAGGCCTCTTCCACACAGCTGAATAAAATCCCACATTATTTGCTTTGAATTGGACTATATGGCAGTGTGGACTCAGATAACCCAGTTCAAAGCAGATATTGTGATACTTTGGGATATAGGGCTGTGTGGAAGGCCCCTGATACTTCACTTGGATAGTTGCTAAATGTCCTTTTTTAGCAGTCTAGTCCTGATCTTAAAAACCAAGAGGGCCACCTCTGGTGATCAACTGAATCAAACAGATACCATATTGAAGCAGGCACTCGTGGTAAATAGACATGTGATGTTCATGATCATATTTTATGCACATAGAATGATAATAACAGTAATTGCCTGTTTTAGCAGTCTAGTCCTGATCTTCAAAACCAAGAGGACCACTTCTGGTAGCTTCTGACTTTCATGACAACATAATAAATCAGCTATGGGTTTCAGTCCAGTCTGGAAAGACGCTATCCAAGGTACTGGACTCTATTTCGAAAATTCAGAGCATTAGCGAGATCTACAATTTGGATTTAAATTGAGAGTGAATTCATTTCCTGACAATCAGACATTCACATTGAAGACTGTCCCTCTAAGACTGTATGATTACTGAATTCTGTGCAACAAGAAGTGATAATTGTTTAGGGAACATTGAGTCATATTCTCTAGTCTGGGAGGGACATACTGGATAATTTTAGGGCCATAGCTCTTCATGATTCATCCTGCGTCTGCAAATTTCTGATCCTTTGGGGTCAAGGTTTGGTGATGTAGCTTCCATAGCTTGGAGTCAGACCCACAAGTTGGAGGCTCACCCCTACTCTCACGCCAGTCTAATCAGAACCTATCCATTTTGCTGACCAAGCTTCCATTTGTGCCACATATAAGCAGAGGCCTCTATTATTAGTTTTCCTCCACAAAGTTGTACTTTTCCTACTTTTAATTTAAAAGCAGATTCCAATTAATTTGATGTTGATGTTTAAAGCTGTCATTTTACTGGATGCAAGCACATCCCACTGGGACCCTAATGGAAGAACTATTATGTTCAATGAGGCTTTAAATCAAGTGTTATGAACTGAAAGGGGGCTTTATGTTCTTATTTAAAGACAAACCATGCAGAACAACCAAAGCCTTGATATAAGAATGCCAAACTACAAGTAAACAAAGAAACTACACACACCCTCTCCAGATTTTTGTCAGTGCCTTGCATCTTTTCTTTTTAGATTATTAAGGTCTTTGGGGAATACTGCTCAAATCCCAAATTACCTGCCTCCACATACACACTGTCAAAGGCTTGACTACATAGTATGCTCTTAAGCAATGTTTTGCTTTTAGTACAGACTTTTTGTGACTATGGGACTGTCTCTGTTATTGTGTATTCATGTGCTCAAGTTATCCATTGACTCAAAGTTACTCCATGATCTCCAAAATATCTGGATGATTTTTTTTTCAGGTAAGGACCAACTTGAGAAACTGCAAGTCGTTTCTGGTGTGAGAGAATTAGCCATCTGCAAGGACATTGCCTAAGGGACTCCCAGATGTTTTGATGTTTTATCATCCATGTGGGAGATTTCTCTCATGTCCCAGTGTTCCTTACTCTCTCAATTTGCATGGAATTTGCATGACCCTGTCCATTGCCTCTCCCTTAACCCTTTCCTATTCTTTTCTATGACACACAGCAGAGGAATTGATCAGCAACTGAACATACTAGGTTTGGGGAGAATTCAGGATTTATAAAAGTTGTAGGTACTAGGATGTATAATTCACCTGCAATCAAAGAGCACGCTGAACTCCACCAATGCTGGACCTGGAACTAATTTGGCATACAGGATCCCCATGACCAACAAGAAATACTGGACTTTTTGGAAGGATTTATAGGAGTTGTAGTTCACCTACGTGGGGTTGCCTTTGAAGATGGTTCGGAAGCTTCAAATAGTCAAACGAGAGGCAGCCAGATTACCAACTGGGGCGGCATACAGGGAGCACACAACTCCCACATTACGTCAGCTCCACTGGCTGCCTGTTTCTACTAGGCACAATACAAAGTGCTGGCTTTGGCCTATAAAGCCCTAAACGGCCCCAGCCCAGTTTACCTGTCCGAACGCATCTCCCTTTATGAACCACTGTGGAAACTAAGATCTTCTGGGGAGGCCCTGCTCTTGGTCCTGCCACCATCACAGGCACGTTTGGCAGGGATGAGAGTCAGGACCTTCTCAGTGATGGCCCCCTGCTTATGGAACTCCCCTCCTGGCAATATCAGCCCCCTCCCTCCTGTCTTTCAGAAGGACGGCGAAGACCAAGCCTTTGGGACAGTGCAATGAGGCAAAATTGTGTCCTGAGATGGTTTTTAAGCAATTTTTAATGCCGATATAAGTGATTTTAATGTTTGTGTATATTTATGGTTTTATGTCCCTGCATTGAATGTTTGCCATATATATGTTGTGCTCCGCCCTGAGTCCCCTGCGGGGTGAGAAGGGCAGAATATAAATGTTTTAAATAAATACATAAATGCAGAGCACACTATGAACCCAAACACTGATGCATCTGGACCAAACTTGGCACACATACCTGATATGCTGAAATTTCATTACTGGAGGGATTTGAAGAGAGTTGACCTTCTTTTCTGTGAGTTGTAGTTCACCCACAACCAGAGAATCTGACCTCCACCAATGATGGACCTAGACCAAACTTGGCACACAGACCCATGACTAATTCAACCTACCGGAGGGGTTTGAGGAGACTAACTCGCCATAATAGGAGTTGTACTTTATCCTATAGCCAGAGAGAGCACACCGAACTACACCGATGATGCAACTAGAGCAGGGGTCCTCAAACTAAGGCCTGGGGGCCGGATACGGCCCTCCAAGGTCATTTACCTGGGTCTTGCTCAGGGTCAACCTAAGTCTGAAACGACTTGAAAGCACACAACAACAAACCTATCTCATCAGCCAAGGCAGGCTCACACTTCCCATTGAAATACTAATAAGTTTATATTTGTTAACGTTGTTCTTCATTTTAATTATTGTATTGTTTATAAGATATGTGCAGTGTGCATAGGAATTCATTCATGGTTTGTTTGTTTTTCAAATTATAATCCAGCCTTCCAAGTTTGAGGGACTGTAGCCTGGCCCTCTGTTTAAAAAGTTTGAGGACTCCTGATCTAGAGCATAATATCTTCCCAGAACATCAAACCAAGAGCTTTAATAAAGATAGTTTATTACACAAACAGGAATGTGATTTTCATCATCCTCATTTACAATGGAATCTCTGAACTGGACAAATAATATATAATTTCTGTACCTATATCCAGTAAGACATCTTCTATTTACATTCAAGTTTACACAATTTCTTCAAGTTCCATATTTGAGGCCATCAAAACATTTTGGCTGTGCACCAACCTATATTCATCCTTGTGTCTGAGTGCAGGACAACAGGTATCTATGAGCAGCTACAAAGCTTTCCTGCAGCAGCTGATACCTGGTGGAAGAGGAAAATGGGCTTTCCTCTTTCACCAGGTACCTGCAGCTGTGGTAACTTTCAAAACATCTTTGGTTGTATGCATGTGTTTTTCCTTCCCTGTGTGGGATTACATCCATTATCAGTCATTTCTTAGATTTCCAGGCTTCTAATCTTTTATCAAAATCTTCTAATGTGTATGATAAATTACTTAGTTCTATGTATCCAGTTGTCCTTATCTTTCTAACTACTGCATTTAGGGTCAGTTGTGGGTGGGTAGGTGGGTGGGTGACTTCTACAACCTGCCAAATACAAAAATTTGATTTTGTCTTGACATGCAGGGAGGTTTCACTGACTCTGTACAGCAGACTGTTGCAGAAACACTAAATGGCAATATATCTGAACCAGTCAATTCACCATAATGGCATTCAACGATTTAAAATAAAAAATGTACAGTAGAAAAATATTCAATAGCTCACAAACATGAAAAAGGTGTACTCTAACATGCAGCTACTTCCAGATTGTCCAGTTCATGTCACATATTTGGCAATACTGGGGAAACCAGCTCTTCCTTTGTCCAAAAGATTTGAGATCGGAATTTCTCAGTCATATTCCAGTTGCGTTACAAAGCCCTGCCTTCTCCAGCTCAGAATTAGCAACATCTGCTTCTGACAGTGATTCCAAGTTTGATTTCCATCCTGGCCTGTGAAATGCATGGCAATATCCTGATGACCTCGGGTCTGAGGAACATCTGCTATTTACAGCTCTTTCTTTAGACAGATCTTCTTTCAGGAACAGAGGGCTTGTTAAATGATTCCTTAGCTTTTATTAATCTGATGGATGGATAATATTTTACTGATTGCCTGAAGACGTTGCTGTTCTTGACACATGGAGTGTTGCCGATAAAGAAACGAATCAAAGCCTTGCCTTCTGACAATCTGGATGGAATCTTGACATAAATTACAGCCACCGCTTGTCCTCATGTTGTAATCTCTCTTGTACTTGTGGGCTGAGAGTTGCTGATCGGGGGCTGGACTTGTGCCCCTTCTAATTCAGTTTCCCGTATAAAGATTACTGCATCTCCGCTTACATTTATTAGGCACTGGGCCTGCAATAACAAAGGAGGAAGTTCCACTATTAAAAAAACTCATATATATATATACACATACATACATACATACATACATATATCTATATATATATAAATGCTCTGTGCGTAATGAGTACCTTAAAAACAAAAGAACCAATGAACGAAATCACACCAAATTTCGCAACAAAACGTCTCACAACACAAGGCGTGACCATCACTCAAAAATTTATGATTTTGTCATTTGGGAGTTGTAGTTGCTGGGATTTATTGTTCATCTACAATCAAAGAGCATTCTGAACTCCACCAATGATGGGATCAAACCAAACTTGGCACACAGAACTCCCATGACCAACAGAAAATATTGGAAGTGTTTGGTGGGCATTGACCTTGAGTTTTGGAGTTGTAGTTCACCTACATCCAGAGAGCACTGTGGACTCAAACAATGATGGATCTGGACCAAACTTGACACAAGCACTCAATATGGCTAAATATGAACACAGATGGGAGTTTGGGGAAAATAGACCTTGACATTTGAGAGTTGTAGACACTGGAATTCACAATTCACCTACAATCAAAGAGTATTCTGAACCCCATGAACGAGAGAATTGGGGCAAACTTCCTACACAGAACTCCCATGACCAACAGAAATTACTTAAGGCTATCGAGTCCAACTACCTTCACCAGGGCAAGAAAACGTAATCAAAGTCCTCCTGACAAAGAGCCATCCAGCCATAAATACAGATAGATATGATTCACACAGAGAGAGATATAGTATCATAGATTTGAAAGAGACCCTTGAAGAAGGACAATTATATATTGCATGTTCCAGAGTAGGCAAACCAGACACTCTCCACATCAATACTGACAAAGAGATAGCAAGAAGCATCAAGACATTACATATATTAAAAACCAACACTTTCTCATTACTTTATTTTTCAGATCACCAGACTAGGCCACAGCAACGCGTGGCAGGGGATGGCTAGTGTATGTGTGTGTGTGTGTATAATCTTATAACTTACATAGACTTTAAATCAGTGGTTCCCAACCTGTAGTTTGTGGACCACCAGTGGTCCCTAGGAATGAAAATATGGTCCACAGCCTTACCATTACTACATTGTTGACTCAAAACCACACGGCAACGAGAGCAGCTGGTCTTGTGAAACCTTATGGTGCTGAGGTAACAGGGATGTCCAGAGGGATGGGGCTGACTACCCACGAAAGATTATTACTACCACATCAACTCTAGATTAACAAATATGGTTTTCTGTGAGCAAGCAGATGGTGACTACTGGATGGCATAAGTTCTGTATGAGAAACTAGAGCTGATGTGGTCTATCCAATGCAATTTTCTGAATCGGCACCCCAAATAACCAAACCAAATCTAAAGTTGACCAAAAACTGATTCGTAACTCTTTCAGTACTAATGTTGGAGAGTGGTCCCTGGTCAAAAAAAGGTTGGGAACCACTGCTTTAAATGTATGAAGTATCCTATACACCAGGCATGGGCAAACTTTGGCCCTCCAGGTGTTTTACACTTCAACTCCCACAATTCCTGACAGCCTGGAGGGCCCAAGTTTGTCTATGCCTGATATATATGGTACATTTCAAAATTTCATGACCTTCACACACACACACCGCCCCTGTTATTCTTGTATTGTTTCATTATTTTATATACAGGCTACTACTACCTTTGTCCTTTATCTGGTTTTGGAATCAACATCTATTTATATGTAGGAGTCCAAACTGTACACAGCAAAGTACAATAAGTTCATGTTTGCTTGCTGTAGGGGACTTGTGATCACTGGCTGAACTTAGGGAATCCTTCCCCAGCTTTTGCGCCTAGCCGAAGTGACATGTACCGCTTCGTTTCAAATATAAGTCATTTTGCTTTTTTGCCCTGTATAACAGCACAGGCACAAACCCTTAGGCATCTGCCAGGTTTGAAAATCTGATGATCCAAACCATTGCAGTTTGACAGTGTGCTAAGGAATGGCTCGTTCCCTAAGTGTCCTTGAGTGTGTCTATCTGCCAAATTCACAGAAGAAAGAAACTTGTTCCTTTCATTTGTGAAACACCCTTAAGTGTTATCAGTAGTTATCAGTAGTTTGGTTTGTCAGAGTTTTGTAACATTCCATTATTTCTAAAGTCACAATAAGTAACTATACAGATCAGGACCACCCCAGTAGCAAGCATTAAGGATTTAATCACCTGGCTAGCCTTGAGTAATTTACAGCCAGGATGGGGTAGCTGAAAGAGTAATAAAAATAGCATAAGCTTCTCTGTGAGTTGTGGAGGGCCAGGCTTTAGCACAGCAGGTTAATCACCAAGCTGCAATAAATCTTGCCAGCCAGAAGGTTGACAGTTCAAAGCCCAGGTCAGAGTGAGCTCCTGACCTTTAGCCCAGCTGCTGCTTACCTAGCAGTTTGAAAACAAATGTGAGTAGATAAATAGGAACTGCATTAATGTGGGGTCTTTGGCAAGGAGATGGAGCGACAGCACCAACCCCCAAGTGGCCGGAACCTAGCACAGCCTCCAAAGATGCCGAAAGATGGGAAAGCCTATATATAACTGTTGACTGTCTTGTCATTACTATAACTTGCATTGAATGTTTGGCATATATGTGTTCTGTGATCCGTCCTGAGTCCCCTTCGAAGTTAGAAGGGCAGAATATAAAAACTATAAACAAATAAATAAATAGCTGTTGTAAGATTGTTGAGTGTTGAGCTATTGGAAATGGAGATTCAATGTTTGAAGGATTAATGAAGAAAACCAGAGGAACTAATACTATGGATAATGCATGAACTGAGTGGGAGTGTTGGAAAGAAAGACTAGAGAAGAGTCAAGAACGTCTACTAGGTATATATAAATACTGCTGTATAAAATTTTCTACTAAAGATTCAAGTTGTGCTTGTCTGCTCCTTAATTGGAGGAGGAATGCTTCTACTGAAGAAGGGGTGGCTTGTTGCTGGACAAAGAACCCCAACAATTTGCTGCGACATGGTTCTCAGGAGTTCTTCTGAGTTGGTTTAGCATGGAAAACTACATCATGACACTAAGATGAACCTACTAATATAGAATGCGTCCCCTTTTCCAGATCCTTTATCTGTAAAGCAAGCAATGTCCTTTCAAGCACACATTTACCTGGTTTTTGTTGGGGTTCTCCATAAAAACACACTGTTTCATGATGTATGATACAACAGCATTTCCCCCAAGAGCAGCCACGTGAGCTCTCACCATTGCAAACACTTCAGCAATGAAAGCATGGAGAAAGCCACTCACACCACCTTCCTGTAAAAAATCCACACATAGAGGAGAGAATCAATGGGAAATTAATTATTCTTTAATTTCAAAACTATTTTTTTCAAAATGTATTTAATGGTTTTTGTACATTAGTAACATATTCCAAAATATGAACAATCCAAACTAACAACATAACAAATAACATTAAAATGATAAATTCCAGAACTATTAATCATTCTGGGAGCATAGATTTTTGTTATGTGGTTTTGTGGCAAGTAAGGGGGGGAAAAAGAAGGATTACAACAGAGTGGGGGGTCTTCCACAGCATTGGAGACCTGATTAAGTGTTTTAGTTAACATATTTGCACTGGATACCAAACTTTGTAAAAGGTAAACACTGATTGCTTCCAAAGTGGTGGCACATTTCTGTTACCAACGGCTTTTCAAAGTAATGTTATGTAGTCTAAGCGATATTTATACTAGTCTGAGCGCTATACTCGGCTTTCAAACAAATGTAATCTGATTTAATAGCAACATAAGGAATTGCCCATAAAGAGTAAAACCATACAATGAATGGAGAAACTACAGGACACCCCTATGTAGGATTCAAAAGTATTAGCTGTCATGGCTACCTGGTAATACTATACTTTAAGATCTTTTTGGATAAAAAGTGTATATTACAGTTCTGCTGGATAACTTGAAAACCATTTCAGGTTCATGGCTAATCTATTGAAAAGAAAGTTGCTTAGTACACCTTAAGTGCTACACAGGAGTTCAGGATATGAGTATAGTACATGTGAGTGGATAGGAAATGTGCTAACGCTGCCCATTCCATTGTTTCAGTCATTCACCCCATGAGGAATGTGACTTTCATAAGAAGGATGTATCCTGAATGAGCAGGACAACATCTCCCCTTGAGAAAATCTCCCTCCACATGTACTGATGTGGAAGGCGTCATTCCCTCTCTTCACATGCTTAATATACTCAAATTTTGAATGCCTGCAAGGGGCTTCGCTTAATGGGGTGAGGGACTTGCAGTTTTCCAATCGTTAGATTGCATCTCTAACTTCTCTAGCCATTGGCCATAGATGCTGCCTTGATCTATTATTGGGACAGAGAGTCTTAGTAACTGAAAGGAAGCTATGACACATATTCTGAAAGAATGCCACTGGTTGAGTATGATAAAAAGACAAGGCATAGTTCACTTAATGAATAAAATAAATTAATTGTCAGAATTCAGAGGACAAGTACTTGAACATATTGCTTTTCAGATTCCTTCATTTGATTTAACTAAAAAAAACTGAACACCATATTAACAAATCTATCAAATTAAAAGGGAAAAAAATCTGGGAAATGGTACATAGTTCAATATCTTTTAAAAGTTTATTTATTTATTTATTTATGTACTCTATTTGTATCCTGCCTCAGTCATAATCATGGGCCATTTCAAAGATCAACTGCACATATTTCGAGGCTATTGTTGCATTATAGATAAATATCCAAAGGCTTGACGCCAGTCAGGTTTTCATTTTCCTTCTGAAGTCCAGGAAGGAGGGAGCTGCTCTAGTATCACCGGGGAGGGGGTTCCACAGCCAAGGGGCCACCATTGAGAAGGCCCTGTATCTCATTCCCATCAGACGTGCTTGCGACGTAGGCGGGACTGAGAGCAGGGCCTCCCCCAGATGATCTTAATCTCCGCGATGGTTCATAGGAGGAGATACGTTTGGACAGGTAAATTGGGCTCAAACCGTTTAGGGCTTCATAGGCTAAAGCCAGCACTTTGAATTGTGTTCGGTAGCAGACTTGCAGGAGATGACATAACAGTGGGGTTGTATGCTCCCTATACGCCGCTCTGGTGATCAACGTAGCTGCAGTCCATTGGACCATTTGAAGCTTCCAAACAGTCTTCAAAGGCAACCTCACATACCTTTGCCTTTCTTTGCAGTAATCTATTCAGCATGTAATCAGAGCGTGGACTACCGTGGCCAACTCTTGTCTTCCCAAGATATGGCCGCAGCTGGCGCACAAGTTTTAATTTGTGAATGCTTCTGTGGCCACTGCTGAAACCTGGGGTTCCAGGCTCAGTGATAAGTCCAGGATCACTCCCAAGCTGCGAACCTGAGTCTTCAGGGGGAGTGTAACCCCATCCAACATAGGCTGTAACCCAATAGCCAGTTTGGCCTTGTGACTGACCAGGTGTATCTGTCTTTTCTGGATTCAATTTCAATTAGTTTGCCCTCATCCAGACCGTCATAGCTGCCAAGCACCAGTTCAGAATCTGAACAATCTCCTTAGTAGCAGGTGGAAAGGAGTGACACTACAAGTTGACACTAAAAGATGGGAGGGTAGTGGATTTCCACCTTAAGCACAGTGTACCAAAGAACACTTTCTGATTCTTTGAGATGCATCACCGAACCCAAAAGTACTTGCTCAAACAATTAAACGCTGAATTATCTTTTGAACTTCTAGGTCTGTTTCAAACCAAGTGTTTTAAAAAAACAAAACAGTCTTTTTAGCCAAGAGAGAAATACAAACCTTGGTGTATGGCTTACCTCCCGCAAAGAAGTGGTTTCTCGTATAAAAAACATATTGATTATTCCAAGATATTTTGTTATTTTTGCCCCAGGGATAAAAGAAAGTGGCGTCATCTTAACAACTGGCACTACGGAGCAAAAGCCAGACGGGCCAGAGCGGTTACGGGATTGTCCTTCGATCAGGGGACTTGGCTTGTCAATTGATACGGCTAGACAGGACAGAAGAAAAAGAAAGAAAGAGGGCAAGGCAATAATTATTCAAATGGACTAAAACGGTAGCAGCTCTAGCAGAGTAACCCTTCTGCATGGTTTCCACATAGCTTGGTGACAACATTCAGCTGCCTGTGATGCTCAGCCAAAGAAAGGAAATAATCATGCAGCACATGCAAACGAGAGACAAAAAGCTTGAATGGGATTTGTTTTGGAAGAAGAGTAGCATTCCTGCAAAAGAAAACATTGAGGCCAGCAGTGGCACATACAAATGATCTGTTATAAAGTGAAAACATAGGGAGTGGGGAGGGCAGGGGTAGAGGTGGGCGGGAAAGATGTCACAATTTGATAAAAGAAATTTCTGCTAAGAGGGAACGACAAAAGTCTACGGGAAAGAGTGTGAAAGTTGACATGTTTCTCCAGTCCGGCATTGTGGAAATTTGGGGAAAATTCTTCAGTGATGATAGCTCCCAGATGAATCTTCATCTTGAGTAAATAAAGCAACAACAGTCATACCTGCAGGGCATCCACCTGCGTCAACCACAATTAACAACTCACCACTTTATAATTCAGTGGCTATTGCCACAAAGGTCATGCAGGTGATCCTTGATTATTAGTCGTAATACCATTTGATGTATACATATGCTTTCTAGCATGTTGCATATGTATACTTTTTTGTTGTACAATTTCCACAAGCCTATTTACCCCCTATATATTAGATGGCAATTTATTTTTGGAGTATAGAACAGCATACTCCAAAACTGGCCCAGCATTTATTATTATTATTATTATTATTATTATTATTATTATTATTATTATTATTATTTGAAAAACAGGAACAGATGTGTGTTTGCAGCTTTCACACTCGGACACTGATTTTGCGACGCCACTACCGGGTAGGAAGCTCCACCCATTGCCACTGAGAGATCAGAACTATGCTTCCAATGATCAGAATGTGGTAGAAAGGGCTGCCTACTTGTCTTAATTGATCCACGCCTTATGGTCTGAGCTTTCAGTTTAATGAATTCTATCCAGCTGTTGCATCTGTCTGCAAAGGAACTGTAATCAACTGATGTTGCTGAAAACACAGACATAAAAACAAAACAAAAAACAAAGGAAAAGATATGGATGACGCCCCTTTGCCCATTGCGGTGCTCCTTTTGGGGAACCAATTCTTTGTATCCAAGGCTAAATGGTTCTCACGGGAAATTGGACCTCAGCACTTTGCCTTTCTGATTGACAAGATAGGAATTATGCACATTTGAAAGCCAATCACTTGAAAAATATGTACAGATTGTATTATTTGAGCACTACTGAACTCAGAAGAGTGATGGATAACATGGGACAGCTTTGCAACTCTTTGTATTAACAGAGGCTTGAACAGGATAGCTGAGATCAATTTAAAAGGTGAACTGGAGGCTTCTGGAGAGAGAATTCACCTTCTTTGGTTCTGGCTAGAAAAATGACAATCTCAAGAAGTCTGGAGGTGCAAGGGATACAAAAACAGCTCTGAAAGGCCATGCTTTACCCACTCCTGATGAAGAGGCACCAGAGGGGATTGCACAGAATCAAGGCTGTACAAACTGGTGCCTGCCCTCAGTTTTTGCAATCTTCACAATTGCCCGGGAGGGCCACATGTGTAGTCTATGGCAACATGTAATTTGGATCCATATGAGAGCCCTGTTCAACTGGATCATTCATGTCAGGAGTAGTAACAGTGGTCCTCAAGATATCCCTCACCACTGGCTATGTTGCCAAGGCTGCTGGGAAAAAATGCAGATGGCCTGATACATGGGGGTCTGCTGACTGTCTCAGTAAGAAGTGCCCAATTAGCTCAACATTACCATGTGTTTATTTTAAATATATACCATGTACTGGAATGAGATGAGGCCCACCCAGGGCAGGTGAAATATCTAGTAAATCTGATATCATGAACTGAGATGCAAACAGTAGGATGCAGTCATTCAAGTCTGTTACCCATTCTGTTACCCATTTACATTTTAAAACAAAATCCAAAAATAACTGACATCAGGGTGCATGAATGAAGAAAACATCCCTGAAAGTATTCATATTTAAGATCATGATATACATTTTATAATCACTTAATTTAACTAAATCCCAGCACACATTCTCTAGCCTTTTCCACTGATATGTGAAGTTATCAAATATTAGAAACACAGAGCTGGAAGAGACCAGGAGTTCTGCCATACAGAAATATACAATCGAAGCACTGCCTCCAGCAGGTATGCCTTGCACAATCACTTTAAAGTATAGGTTTATTGGGATAATGTATTGTCGAAGGCTTTCATGGCCGGAATCACTGGGTTGTTGTAGGTTTTTTCGGGCTATATGGCCATGGTCTAGAGGCATTCTCTCCTGACGTTTCGCCTGCATCTATGGCAAGCATCCTCAGAGGTAGTGATGTCTGTTGGAACTAGGAAAAGGGTTTATATATCTGTGGAATGACCAGGGTGAGACAAAGGACTCTTGTCTGCTGGAGCGAGGTGTGAATGTTTCAACTGATCACCTTGATTAGCATTTGACTGCCTGGCAGTGCCTGGAGCAAACTTTTGTTGAGAGGTGATTAGATGTCCTTGTTTCAACTGATCAATCAAGTTGAAACATTCACACCTAGCTCCAGCAGACAAGAGTCCTTTGTCTCACCCTGGTCATTCCACAGATATATAAACCCTTTTTCCTTGTTCCAACAGACCTCACTACCTCTGAGGATGCTTGCCATAGATGCAGGCGAAACGTCAGGAGAGAATGCCTCTAGACCATGGCCACATAGCCCGAAAAAACCTACAACAACCCAGTTTATTGGGATAGCTCACCAGAATACAGAAACTGTAGATGCTTCAAGGTTTATTAATATCTTCTTTGGTTCAAAATCTTAAGATCTCTTCTTTTTAGGAAATATAATAAATAATAAGAATGAGAAGTTATACACAAAATACACTGTGTACCAATCTTTGTCTATGTTGTTGAAGCCATTATTACTGTCACAGTTAAACCTGAAGGGTTGGCTAACTGCTCTGGAAAAAGAGAGTAACAATGTAAGTTTCTCTTTTGTTACTATTTCTAACTATCCAGCTATTTTAAATGTATGCAAATATATTTGATGAACATATTCAGATATCAATAAGCCACATCAGACCATGCTTCCTAAGGTAATTGGTACATATTTCCTGAATGATTAGTGTCACAGCCTAAGTGTACCCCCAAAAGACCCAGGAATGCATTCTGTTCTGGCTTATAGTTCAATGAAGGAAACTCACCTCTTTGGGCAGCTGGTATACCTGTTTGGGAACTTGCATTCTCCAGGTCCTCTAATAAGAAGACAAAACGAATTCCACTGATGTAACATAGGTAACATTAGCTATATGAATACAATTTTTAATTTTCCCCCCAATTAATCAGCTGCTCGAGACAAATCATGCTGTTGTATTCCTCTGGCTTTTCAAATGACATACCAATTCTCTACAACTTATTAATCACAGGAAAATCTAGTGAACCCTGTAGTACAGTTAAGATTGATTTGGCAAGGAGGTTTTGTGTATCCCATAAAAATAGTGTGTCTATGTTTATGCACTTCCATCCTTATGATGTAAAGATACAGCCTATAAAGCCAGTTTTTGACTCCTAGTTTAGAAATAGCAACATTTGTAATATTAACACTACAACCATTGAAAGGAGAAACAGCAGATACATGGATGTAGAGCTTCTGGGCAGGAAGTGGTGTTAATGGTTAACAAAAAATAAGAGATTAATATTAATTAAATAGGTACCGTATATACTCTAGTACAAGCCGACCCGAATATAAGCCAAGACATCCAATTTTACCACAAAAAACTGGGAAAACTTATTGACTCAAGTATAAGCCAAGGGTGGGAAATGCAACAGCACCTGATCAATTTCAAAATAAAAAATACATACCAATAAAATTACATTAATTGAGGCATCAGTAGGTTAAATATTTTTGAATATTTACCATATTTCAAAGAAAAACAGTAAACTAGCTCTGTAAGTGGAAAAGTAGGATCAACAAAAGCAATATGGTATCAATAATAACTTAGTAATAATAATAGTAATAACAATACTCCATTTGTATCCCGGTCTCTCCCCATGGGGACTCAGGCTGGCTAACAGCATAGTAGCAGGCAAACATTCAGTGCCTATATAAACAATGCAGACCTACATATAGAACTATAATTATATATATTAATTTCACATATGCATTTACACCTGAAGCATTTGCAAATCCTCTCTCTCTATATATGTGCATTTCCCCTGCAATACTTGCAAGCCCTATATATCTATATTCATATATATTTAGACATGTCTATATATATTTGTGTGTACATTTTGCCCTGTAATATTTGCAAGCTCTATATATATCTATATTCATATAAATCTATCTAGACATCTTTCTATATATAGATAATTATATCTATATAGGATTTGCAAAGACTTGCAAACATGTAAGGGGAAATTCATATATACAATTATTTATACACACACAGAGAGAGAGAGAGAGAGAGAGAGATACAGATATATAGGTGCCTCTATATATTTATCAATATCTATATCTATATAGGATTTGCATATACTTGCAAACATGTGAGGGGAAAATTCATATATAAAAATAATATATACATAAAGATACAGATATACAGGTACACTGAAATTTCTCTCTCTCTCTTTCTCTCTATATATAGGATTTGCAAAAACCTGCAAACAGGGGAAAATTAATGTCGATAGATAGATACAGATAATATACAGGTACATAGGGATTGTAAAGGGTAGGAGCGACTAGCAAATATTTCAGGGGAAAATGCTTTTATAAGATTAATTAATATATATGGTTTGCAAAGACTTCAGGAGAAACATGCATATAGAAACACTTCCAAGGGAACAAAAATGCACAGATAAAGTTAATATATTTAGATACACACAAAAAGCTAGGAAATTGGGTGGGTTGGAAAGAGATCCATACAAGCAAGGAGGATATGAAATATATCTCATTTCCCTCCTTCCCTCCTTTTTGACTGGAAAACAAAACACACTGTTAAGGGAGACAAGAGGAGAGAGGCAAGCAATGGCCTTCAGGCTCTGCTGCCTGGACTTGACCCCATTATAAGTCGAGGGAGGCTTTTTCAGCTCAAAATAAAAGGCTGAAAAACTCAGCTTAGACAGTAATTGACCTAGCAGCCAACTGATTTACCATAAACAGAAAAGATGAATAATTTATTAAATACAGAAATGAGGGCATTACAGAATAACAACACACCAAATTCAGAAGCACATAGGCAATAAAATCTTTAAATCCACTTTAAATCTGGGGGGAAAAAACATTGCAACTTACTCATATCCACCTGTGATACACCCACATGACTCTTCTCCCCATGAAACTGGCCTTTACAACATATTATTAGGTCACCATCATCACCACATTTTGTTCCATGAGCTTTTCTTATATGATTCACATTTGTTGAATTCTATCCTCCCTGGATATTTCATTTTCCTTTGCAAACATGACCTTGATTTGTTTTGCCCTCACGGTCAATTTATTTCCTCAATGACAAATATTAGTCTTATAAATTCAGCATGAGGGATGCTTATATTTTATCATTCAAGTGTTCTTGCGGGTAATTCCAAGAAATAAATTAACATTTTAACAAGTCATCTCAACTGTTTGTGTGATATATGACTGTAAGTAGTAGAAACTGGGGAGTATCCAATGTGGAACCCATCAAAGAAACGAGGTATATTGCAAGATGCTGAAAATATGATTACTTTATTTGCAACACGTGGCTTGCTCAATTGTCTGTGTGTATACTCTTGAGAACAAATAATCCAATAAATTAAGTTTCCCACTTTAAATTTAGAGAGTTTAATCTCTGACTCTTCCTTAAGCAACCTATCTGGGTCTTTTGCAAGCAATCATGTGAAAATTCACAATATGATAAATACTTATCAAATTTGAACTTTCTTCCAATAATCACACAATTCCCTACAAACTAACACACGACAGCACAGGCTACTGCTGATAACAGGAATGGAGAACCCTTAACATGGTATACATAGGTAAAGGTAAAGGTTTCCCCTTGACATTAAGTCTAGTCGTGTCCAACTCTGGGGGGTGGTGCTCATCTCCATTTCTAAGCCAAAGAGCTGACGTTGTTCATCGACGCCTCCAAGGTCACGTGGCCAGAATGACTCCATGGAGCACTGTTAGCTTCCTGCTGAAGTGCTACCTATTGATCTACTCACATTTGCATGTTTATGAACTGCTAGCTTGTCAGAAGCTGGAGCTAACACCGGGAGCTCACTCTGCTCCCTGGAGTCACATCAGACCTTTTGATCAGTAAGTTCAGCAGCTCAGCAGTTTAACCCACTGTGCCACAAGGGACTCCTAATATGGAATACATATTAGTCGATAAAGTCATCATTGGGAAAACTGTCTGAGGAAGTCCATGTTTGTAACACAGGGAGATGTGTGAATACTACAAAACATCTGGAATACTATGATACCAGGTACACTTTTTAAAGAAAGATCTGCAGTCAACGTTAAGAAATTTACATTTGTTTACAAAACAGTGCCAGCTGGGCAGGTTTGAAAGAACGTGAGCAGGAAATGCTTCAGCAATTCTGTAGTCAGGAAGATGATGGGAAGGGACAGGCTGAAAATACATCTATGGCTGAATTCCAAAGTTCCTAAGTAGGCATTTGTAATGCCACAAGCCAACAGTAACAGCTGGAGAGTGCTTTTCCAAGAAATCAATTGTATGAACAGAATAGAATTAAAAAACATAACTGTGTTAGTATGAATCAGCATACAAAGGGATATTGTAGCACCTTTAGAGACTGAGAGAAAGGTGTTGGTAGCGTGTTTGTCTACTTCATCAGATGCATGGAGTAAAATGCCTAGGAACAAACCTTTAGAGCTATGAATGAGCAGGCTGGATCTATGAACAGCAATAAAAACAGAAAACTTGTGGGCTATTTCATTCATACTGGAACTTGCAGATGTTTTGTTAAAACAATGCACTCAAATTTTTTGCTATCTAGAAGACCTGAACGTTATGGAATAACTGCCTGAATGAAAGGTTTGTGTACATTATTATTATTATTATTATTATTATTATTATTATTATTATTATTACTACTACTACTGCTACTACTACTACTATTATTTCAAGCATTTATACCCCGTCCTTCTCACCTCCCTGAATTGTACGAACAGAATAGAATTAAAAGACATAACCGTGTTAGTATGAATCAGCATACAAAGGGATCTTGCAGCACCTTTTGAGACTGAGAGAAAGGTCTTGGTAGTGTGTTTGTAGATTTAAGTCTACTTCATCAGATGCATGGGTTATTATTATTATTCTCAACCATTAGACGCTGAACATAATACTAACAATTAACACTAACTTACAATTAAACAATTAAAACAATTATAAATACACCAAAATTTTGAAAATATTAAAAACACCAGTTTAAAATCATGTTCCAGGATCAGACCAGCCACACTAAACACACTATTTCTTATTTTTTAACATGGGAGCAGACTACCCTCTACTGGCTGACAGCTTCTTTACAAATCAGTTTTGTCATTTTTCAAAAAATAGGTGACGTCTAAATCATTTCTGTTAACGAGAAGAACGCTTTTTTAAAAATCAGAATGAAACAAATAGAACTTAAGGAGATTTAAGTTACTAGTCAAACACTTCATAAAAATACACTAATAAGATAGCTGAAAAGCTAAGTGATAACTTGTTAATGAATTTAAAATAATTCTGTCTTTGGTCAGCAGAAAAGCCAATCAAGTATACAACTATGAAGTACAGGTGGAACCATACAGAAATGAATACTGTTATTGTATTGTCGAAGGCTTTCGTGGCCGGAATCACTGGGTTGTTGTAGGTTTTTTCGGGCTATATGGCCATGTTCTAGAGGCATTCTCTTCTGATGTTTTGCCTGCATCTATGGCAAGCATCCTCAGAGGTAGTGACCTCACTACCTCTGAGGATGCTTGCCATAGATGCAGGCGAAACGTCAGGAGAGAATGCCTCTAGAACATGGCCATATAGCCTGAAAAAACCTACAACAGCCCAATACTGTTATTCTCTTACAGAAGCATCTTTGTTGACTCTAACTGCACAACGGCCTCATTTGGTAACAGGTTAATTTGTTAAGCCTGACTTGGCATACTCTTTCCAGCATATTGAAGGTTGTATCTTCTGTATTAAGGTGATTTTTTAAAAAAGAAAATGACTGATATATCCCACTTGATTGACAATTTTCAGACATAACTTCTTCTCAGAAAAATGAACTCTAAAATTTTCAGTTCTTATTTCAGAGAATTCCAGAGGGCACAATTTTGCATTTTGAGGAATTAACTCATCCTTTTCCAAAACCCTGCTGCCTCTACACTACAATGCAGTGGCTATTTGGCAGCTCAAAGCAGCACCGGAAGGCAATAAAATAAGCAGAAGTTGTTCCTTTTTCATTTGCTCCCCTTTAAACAGCACAATCCTAATTTTATACAGACTGTCCAGGAAACATTCAGTCCCTCTAAAGTATCTAATGAATGATAAAGCCCTCTTTACAGACAAACAATTCATACTGGGAAGAAGTTGGTTAACTAACCATAAGGGAGCAAATGAATGGAACAGATAAGGATAGGCATATATTCTTTTTTTTTTCTAACAAACCTTTAGCTGGTGAGAATTGCTGAGGAGCATGAGGATCAGAAGAAAGCTCCAGAGGAAATTGTAGCTGCTCTTCATTGTCTGTAGAAGCTTGGAACAACAATGAATAGTAGCGCAAACTTGTTAATTTCTCAGCTTAGAGACGCATTTAGTTGTTTATACAGGGTAAACATGTCTTATTCAAAATGCTTGAAACTAGAGATATTTAGATTTCCTGGATTTTGCATATATGTTCAGAAGGGGAGATGGGACACAAAAATCATTTATTTTGCATATATGTTCATAAAGGGAGATGGGACACAAAATTCATTATAAAACATTGCCTGAAGTTTTAATATTTTTAAGCATGAAACCAAGTTTGTGCTCAATGAACGATCAGAAAGCAAAGAGGTAATTATCTCAACCACCTATTAGTTATGGGCCTGGTTACCTTATTTCCAGAATAAGGCAATACCCTCAGCAATATGTCCCTAAATGCACTTTATCACTGATTTAGGATTGTCTGTGCGCCCCATCTATACCTGAAAACTCTATCCCAGTTATATCCTACCTTGTCCATGTCCGGCTTATTTTTTAAATTTTAAATTATTGCATTTAGTTATTGTTACTGTTTATTATTTACTTTTGTGTATGAGATTTATTTTAACTGTTGTATTGATTGTTTTTATTGCTTTTACTGTTGATGTATTTTGGGCTCGGCCTCATGTAAGCCACACCGAGTCCCTTGGGGAGATGGTAGCGGGGTATCAATAATAATAATAATAATAATAATAATAATAATTATTATTATTATTATTATTATTACTGTTTCATCCGTTAAATTCATGTTTTTGTACCATTTTGTTCATTTGGAAGGCACGAAACAGTACACCCCCCCCCCCCTTCAGGTATGGAAATATCAATGAAACAAAAGGAAAGTGGGAACGGTAACTGTTCAGTTGGCTGATTTTCGGTGCTCGGCTGTATGTCCTGGCAGGCGCGGCCACTTTGAGCCTGCTCGCCACACACACATTCTCTTTCCAAGGAGAATGCATGTGGCGAGCAGGCCCAAAGTGCTAGCGGCTGCAGCCAAGCAGCAAGCGCTAGCCCTTAAACTGAGGGAATAGGAGTGTGGGAAGCCCACTCATTGCCGCCAATGGGCCAAAAATATTCATTGTTCAGACAATGGACAAAAAAGCTCATTTAAAAAGGCACCCGTTTTCGGAAGAGATGCTCGAAAATGAAAACAGGGCCTTACGAATGAAATAAACAGAAATGGATTGTCATTCTATACAAATGTACAAGACTACCACCTATGTGGACAATTTTGGGGCATTTCAGATTTTGGAATTTTACAGAAGAGATGCTCAACCTGCATAGAAAAATGTGTTCTTGTAACATAGCAGAAAACAAAATACCATGAGCTACTTTCTAAAAACTACTGTTTCTACTGATTGTGGGGACAATTACTTTACATAATAGTTCACTTTGCACAAAGTTTTTCAATTCAGTTTGACCAAAATTAATTTTGAGTTTAATTTGTTCCCTATTGTTGCCAGTTATTACTGATTTAATTCTCAAGATCCCAATTATTTATTTTTCAATACTGCAATATATTCCACTGCCTAAAGTTCTGTTGCTTCAGACAAGACAACTTCAGCTTCCTTGGGGAAGGAGAAGAGCCATTTTCCTCAGGAATCATTTTGAACACATGCATGATGTCCCTTTGTGACACTTTTGAGACAAGGTCAATGAATGGTCATTAGCAATTATTATCAAACTGAAACTTAACCTGTAATTATTGGGGGCGATACCAGCTGTTATGATGAAGCATCCACACAACACATACATTTAGTGGCATCAAGAACTGGCAAAAATTAAATCTACAGGATTTACACTTAAAAACTACTAGACAAAAATAGTTCTAAAGATGAAATATGTTAATTTATGAAACTATGTTTAGATATTGCACATAGTGATGATCTTTTAGGCCTGCTAAAATAAACCAGCATCTCAAGATTACAGTCACCATTAGCAATCATGACGGCCATGATTACCCTCAATTTTCTCAATATGTTTACCTCTTTGTACTGTTTTTTCTGCAGGTGTTTTGGCTGTCTGTAAAGCTTGGTGTTTGTCGAAAGTTATTGCAACTGCAGTGACAGTGACCTGTAATTATAACCATGAACATGTTAGCTTACATTTTTCATCTTTATTTTTAAAAAATCAATAATTAATCTAATCTGTTCAGTCGGGATGTACACATACAAATCACTTAAAAATAACTCAATATTTTTCTTGTTTTTTAAACTTGGCTACGACATTTTTGTTAACATGAAATAAAATATAAGTGTGTCATAACTCAGCCTCCATAGATCTGTGTCCAGAGTAAGTTACCGTATATACTCGAGTATAAGCCAACCAGAATATAAACTGAGGCACCTATTTTATTTTTATTTATTTATATTTCAAACTTATATGTCGCCCACTCCCCTAGGGCTCGGAGCGGCTTACAAGAACAAACTAAAATCTAACACAAATTAAACAACATATCAGAGATCAAAACTTTTTTACCACAAAAAACTGGGAAAACATATTGACTCGAGTATAAGCCAAGTGTGGGAAATGCAGCGGCTACAGGTAAATTTCAAAATAAAAATAGATACCAATAAAATTACACTAACTGAGGCATCAGTAGGTTAAATGTTTTTGAATATTTATATAAAAGTGTAATTTAAGATAAGACTGTCCAACTCTGATTAAACCATTATTCTAACCTTCTGCAATGTAAATGTGCTTATGTATCCTTCCAATAATTATAAAGAGAGTAAAATAATAAATGTAATAATGACAATAATAAAGAGAATAAAATAATAAATGTAATAATAAGAATAATAGAGTAAAATAATGTAAATGTTATAATAATAGCGTAAGATAATAAATACAAATACAACATAATAATAACAGAGTAAAATAATAAATAACTCTGACTTGAGTATAAGCTGAGGGGGGCTTTTTCACTTAAAAAGGGGCTGAAAAACTCAGCTTATACTCAAGTATATATGGTACTTAGAAATAGAGTCATTTGTTTCTGTGCGAAGGAACAGCCATTAGATAAATGACCTTAAAGGGTATGCAAAGAGCTCTTGTAGCACCCTAGAGACTAAGAGAAGGAAGTTGGTAGCATAAACTTCTAGGGTAATGATAGTTTATACAGTTAATCTGATAAAATGTTTATGTAATAAAATATGTGTGTGAACACAGTAGGTTTTGCCAGTACTTCTTGCAACACACTTAAAATGCCAGAAATGGTGCCACGAGAAGAGAAGTGGATAGTTTCTTTTATTACTGTACCTTAACTTTTTCAAAGGAACCAGCCCCTTCTTTGAATAGAGTGGCTAAAGTCCTTATTATATGGCTGGGCTGGAAAATGGCCACCAATTCCAAGGCGATACTAATGCTTTCCCCTCTCCAATGGAATGACCCTTGACATTACAACAGGTTGCATCAAATCCTAAAGGTTTTGCTCCTAATCCTGCCCTCAACTTTTAAACCCAAGCATACACAGTAAAGAAGAAATGGCAAAAGGCATTGGAACTGTTTGGGATACACAAATAATGTTATGCAAACTGAAAGTAAATATGTATTCTGCCAGGAATTTGGTCAAGGGAAAGCCATCTTCTTCACCATATTTTTAATATATACCCTACTACAACATTTTAGTATGCAATCTCAAAACTGAAATGGCAATATTTTATCAATCTTCTTAGCCATAAAATTGTGAGTTAGAAATTTTTCAGAAAACTTGTCTCGCTTGAACACTTTTATTTTTCCAAATTCTGGACAGATGACAGTATAACTTGACTGATTACAGAATTCACAGAAGTTTATGTCAGGTACTAGAGTAGATAGATTTAGTGGGAAACCGATTAGTCAAAACTTACACACATCCCACTGACTCAATGGCTCTAGTTTAGCTTTAATGGGTTTTAGCCTGAAAAGATAAAAGAATGAGTCTACCTGAATTATTTCATCCTCTGGAAGTGCAACTGTAAAATTCACATGGCACAGGCAACAAGGAATCATAGATCGAAGTTTGAAATACAGGCTCTGTTGAACAGAAAATACCATTTTTATTACATAATCTATGTTACATACTTAAGAGGAAAAATACGTAGATTACACTTCCATGTGGCCCACTATTATCCTCACTCCCATGGTAACTGGTGGCTTCCAAGTCAGTGGGGCAATGAACTCATGGCAGATTTGGGCTTACTTAACAGGATCTACTACAATGCTGAGCATATTAAGGGATATGTTTCAGCATCTTGGAAAGTTCCTTTAATATTTGCAATAACATGTGGAATAGATTCACTATTCCACTGTCCACCTGCATTAGTTACTTCAGAATGAGCAGACCTTGCATTATCCGATCATATGTGCATGAATCATTTCAGTACGCAGCTTCTGATGCTATTATGACTGTATAAGAAATATTAAAGAATAAGTCTCAGTCTTCTCAAAGGAGATGGCAAGATCTAATTAAAAAGTCATTGGCAAACCAACTTAGAATCTTGCTAACTACAATATAGTTGTCAAATGCCAGATTTAAGCCCAACGAAGCTATAGCTGTGGTTCAATTCCAAATATAAAGAAATCATGTATGTTTGCCTGAGTATATTACACCACTGTTGAATCTGTATCATTAGCTACTTTATGGTCAGTGTATTTTTAAATACAACAAGCCATGGGTTGTTTTGTCACATTTATAGCTGCTAAAGATGAGTAATAAATCACATATATGCCCTCACGTTCCTATGAAAATCTAAGTCTATAAACATATGAATGGATAGATTGAGAGTTACTTGAACACGGAAGTATCATATGGCATCTACATATCATAATTTTGGATCCATAGATGATATGGATGGGAAATGCATCTGCAAAATCCTCGGTTAACAACTATATCCTCCATTCCTTTAACATTCCCCTCTATCCAATATCAGCTTATGCAATCCAGACTGCAGAGAAATGCAGAAAATCACAAAAATACAGATACATCAAATAAATTGATCACTTGAATCAATATTTCAAAACCAAATTTCAAAATTGCTTTCTTACTTTCAATAAATTTTCACAGAGATCATTAAAAGTCTTGTTGAGTGATTGATTTGTTAGGGAAGTATTGGTAAGTCTGGAGACTCTCACTGATGTGAACATCTGAAGGAAAAAGAATAATTTCAATTTGCTTGTTTTTTAGGCTTACACAGCGTTTTATTACAGTCTACATTTCTGAGATTGGAAATGGCAATGAAATGAAAAAATAAAAATGCTCTATGATAATTCAATGCAAAATAGACTTACAAACGATTTCATAACCTGCATTATTAAATACAGGCAAGTAAATGATGATAACTTTATAATAACTTTATTCTTATACCCCATCACCACCTCCCTGAAGGAACTCAGGGTGACTTACATATGGAACAGTAATTCCAACAGTCAAAAAAAGCAAAGCAATCCATTAAGACAAAAACACCACTAAAATAAGAGCATCATAAAATACTAGAATCCAGATTTTTAAAAAAACTATTAAATAATCAAATTGTACCACAACTTAAAACCAAATGCAGGCAGTCCCTGAGTTGCAAACATCTTACTTACAAACAACTCATAGTTAAGAATGGGGGTGAGACAACAAGAAGTGAGAGAAATCTACCCCTAAAAAGGAAATTCACTCCTGAAAGAATTATTATCATTGTTAAAAAGGGCCTCCCACTGAAGTTTTTTCACCAATCCTTGTTTCCACAACAAGCCAATGTTTTCAGAATCCAATTATCAGAGGGTCAGAAAGTGAGGTGAAATCTTCTGAACAGGGGCACAAACAGCAAAACAAACACCACAGGGGTGTTAACTGTTCCTTATGCTATTCAAAGCATATATATGTGTGTATGTGTGTGTGGCTAGAGTTACACTCAAAAAATGTACCTGTTCTGACTTACAAACAAATTTAGCTTAAGAACAAACCTACAGAAACTATCTTGTTTGTAGCTCTATCCCACTGCTTACTTTTGGAGGAGGATTAGGGAGACATTAGGGAGCGGGGTAGATTATATATACAGTTTTCCATCCCAACCATATGACTGTATTTATAGAACTATGAGCTAACATGAGCAGAGGGAATAATCTGAACACTGCAGTCTATTGTGCTATAACAATGCTGAATCCTGAGCAGAATCTCTATGGGACGGCCTGAGGTTGTAATGTTTAGTCTGTTCAGACTGCACTGCCTCTAGAGATCAGTTTTGTAGTTGCAGAATAGCTATGAAAACTGTTTTGCTTACAGGCCTAATTGGGACCTCTCCTGGATAAAGACAATTTAGCCATATTGTAAGAAGGGGGAAGAAGGAGATAAAGAAGATAGGATATTAACTTGGGCTGGTAGTTGGGAATTGGAGGGGAATCAGGGAGAAGACATGCTCAGTGACAGAGATCCAATTATAAATATTCACACAAGGTGTTCCCACTTTTATCTCATTGATGGAGTCTCCCCAAAAGCGACCTTTTTAAACATTCACTTGTTTCATGCTGCTTTTGATCAGTGTTTAGTGGATGGAATTTACCTTTTAAGGTTATCTTCTACTCTTTACTTTGCATCTTATTCTAGAGAAACTTGTATAAATACCAGGAAGTTTTTAAACAGTTTTCTTATTCTGTTTGGGCAACATATTAGATGTTTAAAAAAGGCCTTCTGTGAGTAAAAGCGCAAGTTTCAATTCAACTCTCTCTCTCGCCATTGGATCATAATATTTAACAAACCTAATAGGACTTGGGGATACTGCTCATTTCTCTGAGTCAGAAACTTTATATCAATAATTATATTTGAACACAAAACACTGCATTCATTAAGCCTAAAAAGAACACTAGGATCCTAACACTGTACATGTAAATATGAAAAAAGAAGAAAAGTCTTTTAATAATTTGAAAAAAAAGCATTTACATATATTACAGCCACTGTACCTGTATATCAGAAGTCCAGTTATTTATACCAGGCATAATTTCTGTGTTGCAGCTATAAAATCCTATCAAATGATAGAAAGCAGTTTGTTAACATTAGAAAACGCAAAACAGTGCTCTGTATCAGGCTCACTTTCCAGGTTTTACACAACTAGCTATGTTTTCCATTAGTAAAATAAATGAAAAAAATACATATACAAAATAAATCTCTTCATTTTGTTAATTTCCTTTAAAAAGTACAGAATATATCAAAGGACTACATCTCTTAAGAATAAAAGAGTGTATTTTAAGAAACAGTGCAGAAAACAAGGAAGTACTGATTGATCTACTGATCTCCAACTTCTCAAATTCAAATTCGGAAAGAAAGACTTTTGGGTAATTGACAGAATAGTTCTAATAGGAAGATGTAAAGCTTTCTAATTTTTGCCTTTATAAAAATCTATTTCTCGTGGGTTGCAGAAAAAGTCCTTAAAACAGTCTTGCAGTGAATATTCTTCAGCAAAAAAAATTCACTACTGCTTGACTAAGGAATCCTGGACAGTTGAGAAACAAAGAAAACATAGGTGGCAGAAGACCTAAATGTAAGAAATATAATAAAACGTACTAACATGAATGATACAGTTGTCCCTCCACATTTGCAGGTTTGACTTTTGCATCCTCCAGTTTGACTCTATGGTCAACTTCTTCCCAAAGATACCAAGGCTCTTAGAGAGAAAACTTTTCTAGGGATCCCTGGACCCTCCAGTGAGGTTCTACAGTCTTGTCTTCAGAAGGTTCTTTTAATGACATTTAAACTGAGGGGCTCTTAACGCACATCTTGTTCACTAAAGAGGAAATAGTATGTTTACCACGAGGTTTTTCATATTTATCTGGGCTCCCTCCAGCATGCTAACAACACTCAATCATGCTTGACTGGTGCCATTCTGTCTACACAAGGACCAGCACTCATAGATTATGCACTAGCATAATTAATGTAGGATATTGCTTGGCTCATAGCCTATTTTCCTGCAGAACTTTCCTGCTTCATTCATGGCTCTCTCCAGTTAAAAAGAACATCATTCAAAAGAGCTAACTTCTGTCCAAGGTCTAGGAGAGGGATTGCTAGCCCAAGCAGCTATCAGATGGCCGACCTAGATGGTCTGACCATTATTCAAAACATTATTCATGATGGAATACAGTGGCTTCCCACAAGGCCATTTTCCTTTGTTACTGGCATAACCTTTGAAAGGGCATAGAATGGCATGGTCTGAGTTTGGACACCAGTCCAATGAGATACATGTAACTATACGCAAGTATTTGGGTCCCTCACTGGCATACATTATGAAGGCCTTTCATCTTTGGCAGACTAGAAGACATTTAATTTGTGGTGTCAGCATGAAAAGATTTGGCTTCTATTCCATTGCTGATGGTGTGGACATGATAACATCAACCAAAGCAGCATTCCAATGCAGAATTCAGTGGTAACTTGTTTCACACTGTACTCATAATCAGGAGTAGAACAAGTTTTTAAAGTTTCTGCAGATTTGGTCTTTCAGCCTTTATCTTAGAATGGTATCGTGACCATGAGAAGAGGTGCCACAGAGATATGACTAATGAGTCTAAACTGTAGCCTTCTAAGGTTTGGATCTGAGTGACAGCTAAAGATCACAATCAGGTAAACATATAACATGCCCTCAAGATTATCTATCCTGTGAGATTATTAACAGAAAAACACAGGTCATAGCCCTATCAAAGAATTAATCTTGGTCACTAACAGGCATTCTGAGTTAAGATAAGGAGCCAAACAAAGGCCAAAAACTATTGGCTTCAAGGGAAAGGCTTGTTGTTGTTTATTCGTGCAGTCATTTCTGTCTCCTTGTGATCTCATGGAGCAGCCCAGAGCTTCCCTTCGGCCACCCCCAGCTCCTCCAAGGTCAAGCCAGTCATTTCAAGGATAACATCCATCCATTTTGCCCTTGGTTGGCCCCTCTTTTTCCTTCCATTTTTCCTGTCTTCTCATTATGTGACCAAAGTACTTCATCTTTGCCTCTAATATCCTTTCCTCCAGTGAGCAATTGGACATTATTTCCTGGAGGGTGGACTGGTTTGATCTTCTTGCGGTCCAAGGCACTCTCAGAATTTTCCTCTAAAACCACAGTTCATCTAAAATCACAGTCTATCTTCCCACCCTCAGTCTTCCTTATGGTCCAGCTCTCTCATCCATAGGTTAATGTGTGGAATACTACTGCCTTAACTATGTAGACCTTCATTGCCAGTGTGATGTCTCTACTCCTCACTATTTTATCAAGATTGGTCATTGCTCTCCTCCCAAGAAGGAAACATCTTCTGATTTTCTGGCTGCAGTCTGTGTCTGCAGTAATCTTAGCTCCTAGAAATACAAAGCCTGTCACTGCTTCCATGTTTTCTCCTTCTATTTGCCAGATATCGATCAGTCTGGCTGCCAATATCTTGGTTTTTTTGTATTTAACTGCAACCCAGCTTTTTCACTTTCTTCTTTCATATTGGTTATAAAGCTCCTCATCTCCTCCCTGCTTCCAGCCATCAAAGTGGTATAATCTGATTAGAAATGAATGGATTTGTAGCATCAAAGCCTGACTGCTTCCTGCCTGGGGGCATTTTTGTTGGGAGGTGTTAGCAGGCCCTGATTCATTTTTGTCTGGAATTCCCCTGTTTTTTGAGTGTTGCTCTTTATGTACTGTCCTGATTTGAGAGTTTTTTTAAAAAACACTGATAGCCAGATTTTGGGGCCAGCTAACACCTTTTAACAAAGGCTTCCCCAAGCAGCAATCAGCCAGACTTTGAAGCAACAAGGCCATTCAACGCTTATTGAGGTGGCCAACTGCAACATTCACACTTGCCTCAAGCAGACAAGAGTTCTTTCTCCCACCCTGAACATTCCACAGATATATAAACCTCACTTGCCTAGTTTCCAACAGACCTCACAACCTCCGAGGATGCCTGCCATAGATGTGGGCAAAATGTCAGGAGATAATACTTCTGGAACATGCTCATATAGCCCGGAAAACTCACAGCAACTCCATGATTCCAGTCATGAAAGCCTTCGACAACACATACTAGTAAAATGTTTTCAAATAAACTATCATACTAAAAACAAGATTGAATTAAAGGGAAATTCAAATGCATTTTGGTTCATAACAGTTGGGTGGGGCGAGGGAGGTTACATTAAACAGCATTAAAAGTCTTGTGCAAGTATCTGTTTGTTAATGAGAAAGAACCTATCCAAATGAAAAGTTCTTTGTCTGCTGGATGAAGAGGAAAAGAGGTTGGCCTAATGTGGGAGGGAGGTACACAGTACAAAAGAAGTCACCAAAAAGGTCATCTCCTGAGTCCTCACTGAATGCTGCTTTGACAACAGTGGGACCTAAAGCAAGCCTCTTAGCTTTGTTGGTGGAACTGTGAGACCTCTTTCCAATGCCAGAGAGACAGCTTAATGGTGTAACGTTAGAAAATGTTGATCATTTCCGCTACCTTGGCAGCCACCTCTCCACCAAAATCAACATCGACACTGAAATACAACACCGCCTGAGCTCTGCGAGTACAGCATTTTTCTGAATGAAGCAGAGAGTGTTTGAGGACTGGGACATCTGTAGGGATACCAAGGTGCTTGTTTATAAACCTATTGTCCTCCCAACCTTGCCATTCGCCTGCGAGACTTGGATTGTCTACAGACGTCACATGCAACTCCTGGAATGAATCCATCAGTGCTGCCTCCGGAAAATCCTGCAAATCTCTTGGGAAGACAGGCGAACAAACGTCAGTGTGCTGGAAGAAGCAAAGACCATCAGCACTGAAGTGATGGTCCTCCGCCATCAGCTCCGTTGGACTGGCCACATTGTCCGGTTGCCCGACCACTGTCTCCCAATGCAGTTGCTCTACTCTGAACTCAAGAACGTAAAACAGAATGTTGGTGGACAGGAAAAGAGATTTAAATATGGGCTCAAAACCAGCCTTAAAAACTCTGGCATGGACACTGAGAACTGGGAAGCCCTGGCCCTTGAGTGCTCCAGCTGGAGGTCAGCTGTGACCAGCAGTGCTACAGAATTTGAAGAGGCATGAATGGAGAGCGAAAGAGAGAAACGTGACAAGAGGAAGGCACGTCAAGCCAACCCTGACCGAGACCCCCTTCCACCTGGAAACCAAAGCCCTCACTGCGGGAGAAGATGCAGATCAAGAATAGGGCTCCATAGCCACCTACAGACCCGCCAAAAAACTGATCCTGGAAGACTAACCTACTCAGCCAATGATGGATCGCCTAAGTAAGTAAGTAAATAAGTAAGTAAGGAACTGTGAGAAAGTTAAGAAATCTTATGAAATCAGATGTCAATGCAATCCTTTTATCTACAACTGCAAGAATTATATGGTACTTGATATATTGTGATACTGGTGAAAAGGAAAAAAATACAACATAAAGAAAACTGTCAAATTATACTCTCAGGCTGTCTGAGAATATTTAATAAAGTTAACAGAACTTTTAAGAACGAACACATGCAAACCATACAATACCTGAAGGCGGGGGAATATCTGTCAATAGTGAATGAACATCTTCCATTGCATCTGTATCATCAATCTGGAAAGTAAATCAACACAGAGTATTTTAAACTCCAAAATTTTTCTTGCCAGGATTATCAGTCTGACAAATATTGTGTAGCAGCGATATTAATTAAAAAAACGAAACAAAGGGCTTTTGAAGGACTTATAAATTATAATTGACTCCTTCAATTGAGCTCAAATCATCACCATAGCTAATTTCGCCTCTGCATATTTTAAACTGCAGCTTTAATGCAATGTATTCATGGGGAAAATTTATTTGTGAAACAGAGCAAATAACTTCAGTTGAAATTGTTACATAGTTTATACTTTGAGGCAATGGCATTAATTTGAGACTATTTTTAGACACCCATGACTATAAAACAGTCTTGTTTTATGTATCTCTTTCTACAAGGAGATGATTTGCCAATAATAAAATTGTATCTCCTAACATTATCACAGAGGGAAACATTTAGGTGGGTTTGATACTTTGGTTGGTTAGCTATCTGCTACAGACTAGGGATGCTTCCCTCTGAGTTTCATATCCTGAGATGTAAGGACATTTGTAACATCTGCAATTTTTTATCATAGAAAGTTGGGATTAGAAAGAGGTATAAATCGGGCAATATTTCATAAAGCCATGAAAATGATATTACAGTAAAAACCACTCTTCTGTCATCTGTAACTGATACAGTTTTCTCATGTCTTTGTGCTAGGGATGAGGGAACACACTGGTCACCAGATAATGCTGGATTATACTTCTCATTCTATCACTACTGGATATGTTTTTGAAGATTGTCCAACAATATCTGAAAGGCTACCTACTTCTTACTCTATTTCAGTGTTTCTCAACCTGGGGGTCAGGACCCCTGGGCGGATCGCAAGGAGGTATCAGAGGGGTTGCCAAAGACCATCAGAAAACACAGTATTCTCCCATGGGAGTTCTGTGTGCCAAGTTTGGTTCAAGTCAATCATTGGTGGAGTTCAGAATGCTCTTTGATTGTAGGCAAACTTTAAATCCCAGCAACTACAACTCCCAAATGACAAAATACCCACCCACCCCCCTCCCCCAAACCCACCAGTATTCACATTTGGGTGTATTGGGTATTTGTGCCAAATTTGGTCCAGTGAATGAAAATACATCCTGAATATCAGATATTTAAATGACGATTCACAACAGTAGCAAAATTACACTTATGAAGTAGCAATGAAAATAATGTTATGGTTGGGGGTCACCACAACATGACGAACTGTATTAAGAGGTCACGGCATTAGGATGCTTGAGAAACACTGCTCTATTTAATTAATTTCTTTAAAACACACAGAGAAATATGCACGGCTGTACAGAAATAGAATGTACCTCCAAGACAAAAGCATCTTTCTTTCCATGCGAGAGATCCAGTTCTGTAATTTCATCTGAACTTTCAGACTGAGATCTTAACAGCCTAGTGCGGGGCCTTGGTTCTGGAATGGGCGACCCTATGATTTCTTCACATGCCTCCTACAAAAAACAACAATATAAAGATAAAGTAAGCACCACAAGTCACACGTATCCAATCTCACATGTATGCTTTAAATATCTTCCTACTCCTCAACACCTCTTCCATAACAAAAAAGTGCACACTTTCTGACTGTCCCTGTCCTTGTATGAGTCAAGCTATTCCAAACATTTTTAATCTTGAGGTTCAAGTTATTCTTCCTCTTTCCCTTGAATGCTAGATAGTGAAGGATTGTGTGGATATCTATTTATCTATCTATCTGTCTGGGGCCCCCAGTGGCACAACAGGTTAAACTGCTGAGCTGCTGAACTTGCTGACCAAAAGGTTGGCTGCTCAAATCTGGGGAGTGGGGTGAGCTCCCACTGTTAGCCCCATCTTCTCCCAACCTAGCAGTTCGAAAACATGCAAATGTGAGATCAATACGTACCACTGAGCCAGGAAGGTAACAGTGCTCCATACAGTCATGGCAGTCTATCTATCTATCTATCTATCTATCTATCTATCCATCCATCCATCCATCCATCCATCCATCCATCCATCCATCCATCCATCCATCCATCCATCCATCTATCTATCTATCTATCTATCTATCTATCTATGTGTGGAATGTTACAGAGCTCTTGCAGCTCAATAACTATGACAGCATAAAATGGTGGACTTTCCAACTGTTCCCAATATGTTACCTCATCATCTAGAAATTGTGGAACCTAGATGCTACTTGTAATTTCACTAGGAAAAGAAGAAATGGGAGGGAAAAGGAACACTAAATAATGTATGCCTATAAAAAGTTGGGACATAGGATTCAATGAATCTCTATTTCTGAATGATGAACTGGCAACACAAGAAAACCAACCCTGTCCCACATTTAACACGATTTCAGAATTCCTTCACTGTTTATCCTGCCTATTGACAAACTTATCAAACAGACTGTCCAAACAAATTCTCTGGCCTTATTACCAAAGAAGCTAGTTCAGGCCTCTGGCCTGGCAGTATGAGGAATATAAGTTGGCGCAGGAAAGAATCAGTCTCCCTGGGAAGCCTAGAACATATCTTAGTTAAATAGGTAATTCCCCATCCTATGACTTCCAACCTTATATACCTGGCCTCTTTCTAAGTACACTCTTTTGCTCATCTCCACTGTTCATTATCCAATACTCCACAGGAGTTAGTATTCACAGCAGCTGCATTTGGCCCAGCATCCTTTCAACAGTTGTATAACTGTACTTGTCTATTCGTTCAGTCACTTCTGACTCTTCATGACCTCATGGACCAGTCCACGCCAGAGCTCCCTGTCAGCCATCACCACAGCCCTAACTCCTTCAAGATCAAGCCAGACACTTCAAGGATACCATCCATCCATCTTGCCCTTGGTCTGCCCCTCTTCCTTTTTCCTTCCATTTTCCCCATGCTTTCCTGTCTTCTCATTATGTGGCCAAAGTATTTCATCTTTGCCTCTAATATCCTTCCCTCCAGTGAGAAGTTGGGCATTATTTCCTGGAGTATGGATTGGTTGGATCTTCTTGCAGTCCAAGGCACTCTCTGGACTTTCCTCCAACACCACAGTTCAAAAGCATCTATCTTCCTTTGCTCAGCCTTCCTTATGGTCCACCTTTCACATCCATAGGTTACTATGGGGAATACCATTGCTTTAACTATCCGGATCTTCGTTGCTAGTGTGATTTCTCTACTCTTCACTATTTTATCAAGATTGGTCATTGCTCTCCTCCCAAGAAGTAAGCGTCTTCTGATTTCCTGGCTGCAGTCTGCATCTGCGCTTAGAAATACAAAGTCCGTCACTGCCTCCACGTTTTCTCTCTCTATTTGCCAGTCATCAATAAGTCTGGTTGCCATAAGCTTGGTATTTTTGATGTTTAATTGCAGCCCAGCTTTTGCACTTTCTTCTTTCACCTTGGTTATAAGGCTCCTCAGCCCCTTCTCGCTTTCAGCCATCAAAGTGGTATCATCTGCATATCTAAGGTTGTTAATGTTTCTTTCAGCAATTCTAACTCCAGCCTTCGATTCATCATGCCCCACACATCACATGATGTGTTCTGCATACAAGTACTCTTTTCCCAATCCTTTTCCCAATCCTGAACCCTTCTCCAATCCTGAACCAGTCTATGTGTTCTGTGGTGTGTTCTTACCATTGCTACTTGGTCGTCATACAGATTCCTTAGGAGATAGAGAAGGTGACTTGGTCTCCCCATACCACCAAGAACTTGCCACAATTATGATCCACTCAGTCAAATGCTTTAGAATAGTTAGAATAATTAGAACAATTGTACTTACAGGAGGATTAATATCATAAAGCTCCTTATTTTTGGTTATTGTATCATTTATTTTCTTCTGCACATGTGAGATATGTTGTTCATAAGTGGCATCGTTTGGTGTCTTTCCAGCGATCTGAATGCCGCCAGGAGTCGGTAAAGCACTCAGATACACACCTGTAGCAGACTTTACAGAATAATACAGTGAGAAAGTGAAACTTAACACACAATCTTGGAACACATATGCTCTGTTATACGTTCTCCCTCTTTTGCTGATATAAGCTAAAGGGGTTATTTACAAACAGATATGGAATATTTTATTTTAGATCAATGAGCAAAATGTTGTAAGACAGTGTTCATATACTCATTATCCCAACACAATTTCTAAAAATTATGTGGGATGAAATTTTTTCAGAAAGATCATGTACCATATCAGAGCATAATATTCCTAGTCTTGGTTTCCTTTTATCAGTTCTTTCTATGGGAATGGGCACATGACCTCTGCTTTGTATTTTATTTTGCTGTACTATAATTTTGGGCTTGGCCTCATGTTAGCCGCCCCAAGTCCCCTTTTGGGAGGTGGTGGCGGGGTACAAATAAAGATTATTATTATTATTACTACTACTACTACTACTACTACTATTATTATTATTGAAACTATAGATATCTAGTGGAGATAAAATGATTTTATCTGTTTTATTATGCTGATGGTTTCTACCCTGGGATTTTATATGCTACATTGAAACCTTGATGTATGTTGTGGAGTGAAAATAGTTAAATAATAATAACAATGAGATAAAAACAAAATGGCTGTAGCCAACTTTATACCTCTGGAGCAATACTGGAGAAGAGTAAAACCAGATTACTGTCACAAGTAATAAAAAAAAAACTTACTGCCAATCCCATTAACATGGTTTCTCCCACTGTGATCTGGATCCTCAGCCCAAAAAGTGCATTCATTCCCTTCAGCTTTAGCTTATTCATGAGCTGAGTATGTACTTCATATTCCATAAATGGCAGCAGATTACTGATGGCGGTGGCATTTGCTTCAGCTTGGGCTTTCTTCTTCAGCCGACACAGCCTGATGGGGTGAGCAGTCAAACACAAAGCTGTGTTAGCTTGGTCTGAGACAAAGACTCCTGTACAAAAATTCTGACCTCAGAAAGAAGAGGCGGAGAGAAGGAAAACAAGCACTAACTGGGATGAGGGAAACATTTGAAGCCTCACTGGCCTTTTTGCAGCACCATGTCAGTGGTATATATACAGGTCTGCCTAATGCATTTTTTAAAAACACACTTACAATGGAACTTTAAGCAGGTGGATTTACTTCTTTTGAATTTTCAAAAAGGGCTGATTGCACATGACAACAATATATCATTGTTCATAAAAAGTTGGCATACTCTACATAGCTCCACTGAACTCAGCAGGCTTTATTTCTGTGGTAAACATACTGAGACTTGGCTGATTTTTTAAGAAGATGATCTAAATAATGCTTGCTTAATATTTTGCCCTTCTATGGTTTAACTTGCAAGCATTTCTAATGTAAAGGATGAGCCCCCATATCTGCAGGACTTGTACCCCCGGTTTCATTCATCTATGTTTGACAAAACATATTCTCTCAAGGGATATTCCAGTGTGGCTCTGTGATATTCTTGGGCAATAAGTCCTTCAATTTTAATAGCATTTACTATTACTTGCAGTTTTGTGTATCCCCAAGAAGACAGGGAACATTTCCCTCACAAATAGAGGCTGTACTATATAAACACTAATGAATACAATGTGTACAGCCTGATCCAGTCGAATTGTGTTTTCCTGGCTAAGCCCAAGGCTAAGCTTATCTAGTGAAAAAGTACCACTGAGTTCAGGACAACACTTCTCCTGCCAATGCCAATTATGCAGGACATCAATCCAATGAACGAACAAGTTGCTTGTTTTTGCAGGAAGTGGCCCTGCTAAAATGTGTCTCTCATTCAGGCCTTCTCTTCTTCAATGCAAACTTCTGATTCCTTTTTAACTAGAGTTTAAAAATATTTTCCCCACCCCCCACACACCAGATCAGAGGTTTACCACTCAATAACTAATTGATTGGTATTAATTTGGTTTGTGTTTTTTCCCCAGTGCCCTGCTGGTTTATGGTTATAGAAACAGTTATCTGATTTCAGAGCTTGTCTGCTAGCCTTTTCATTTTGTCAGAAGGCACCTGCGAGTCAATTTTATCAGAACTGCCAATGTTTCTAATAGAAAATGATTTTGGATTCCTGGCTGGACTTGCTGGCACATGGGAATAAACACATGTGTTTGTGGGATTGCTCCTTTGGTCAGTTAGAGAATAAATATTTGAGAACATAGCTATCAAACAGGAGAAAAGCAAATCTAACAGGATATACCTGGCTTGAATGAGGCACCCTTTCCCAATCACCATGGCATCCACAGGCAGATCGATTGTCGTGAAAATAACATCAGGGACTTTTTGTTTCCGACAGTTGCAACAGTAAGTGAGGTGAGCAGGGAATGGCATGTTGAGCTCATCATAAGGAATGTGGCAAAAGCCACAGCCTGGAGGTGATGTTTCTTCCAATCTACAAGAGAGAATGTGGGAAGTATTACATAACTGTTCAGGCACGTCTTTATATATATCATTTACAAAACATGCATCCGAATGTACATGTGCATGTATAACTTTTAGTTTAGGTATATTAAAATAACCTGGCCTAGACAGGAACCAAATGTAGAGGTAGACACATTTCTTCTTTTTGCGACCTAAGCTAACAAACCTGCCATTATTATCTAGGGCTGGCATAGGCAAACTTTCTACTTTTGGGGCCACATGCTAGCACTCCCTGCTAGGAGACTGGCTGCCTGTTGATGAAAGGAAGGGAGTGAAGGAGGAAGGAAAGAGAGAAGGATGGAAAGGAGAAAGGGAATGATGGAAGGAGAAAGAGGGAGAGAGGGAAGGAGGGAGAAAAGAGGGAAGGAAAGAAAGACAAAAGGGAAGGAAGGAAGTAAGGACGAAAGGGTGGAAGGGAAGGATGGAAGGAGAAAGAGGGAAGGGAGGGAGGGAAGTAAGGAGGAAGGAAAGACAAAAGGGAAGGAAGGAGAAAGAGAGAGGGAGGGAGGAAGGAGAGAAGGATGAACGAGTGGAAAGGAAGAATGGAAGGAGAAAGAGGGAAGGAGGGGAGGGAGGTAAGGAGGAAGGAAAGAGAGATGGAGGAAGAAAAGACAAAAGGGAAGGAAGAAAGGAAAGAAGGAAGGAAGGAAGGGGAAAGAAGGAGGGAAGGAGGCAGGAAAGAGAGAAGGTGAGAGAGAGGAGGGTCTGAGAAAAGAGCCCAAGGGGCCGCATCCAGCCCCCAGGCATGGGTTTCCCATACCTGAGATAGGGGAAATAAATATTGTCTCTAGAAGAACCTGTTGCAGTCAGTGATCACAGCAACAGGCTGTTGTAATGAGCTGTTATGGTTTTATCTGACAAACTTAATGATTTAACAAAATGACTACTGTTCTAATTATTTTTGCTTTGTGAATACATCTCCTAGAAACTGGGGTTTTCTCTTAGATTAAATCTATGGTGTAAATGCAGGCAGAGAAATTCTGAGAGGAGTGTGATGGCTGAAAATGAAGCACCTTCGAGTGCATTGGCTCTTTGCAAATCAATTGCAGGACAAGCATTTGTTCTGCCTCTTGTAGGCATATGTTTGTTTGTATTTTACTCTTCTTTTATACTCTGTAAATGAAACAGATCTGCATAAAAATGCACAAAAAAACCTTTGGTGCTACTCTGCCCAAAGAAAACTAAAATGTATAATGCTGTTTGAGGCTTCTCAAAGAGTGGGGAACATCTAACAGTTTTAGTCTCTTCTTTTAATAGGACCTTCGCCTAGAAAGCTATTGAGTAAACATCTCAAAATTTTCAGTCTGAACTTTCCATAGAAAGATAGGATATACATTTCATTTTATAGAAATAACCAGAATGCCATGGTAGATCTTTGTTGTCACCTGTACATATCACAAATTTTCTGTTCTGCATTTTAAACATTACGTTTGCAATTGTGATTATATAACATTCAGTCAGCAGTTTAGTCCTCAAAGGTATATATTTGTGTTAACCACTTGTTAGATATATCAATGTAATATTCAGCATTAACTTTTGGAATCCCGATAGATTCTCCACATCAGTTTTAATCACCAAACCCAAGGCTTGTGTCATTATTGTTAAGATTGTTCAGTCCTCAGTTTTATACAAAAGACTTTGGTATTAGATCACAGGATTGTATGCAATGATGTATCTCAGAAGTCTCTTCTGTACAAATACCCATCAGTCAAATGGGGAAGAGATGATTTTGACTGATTTCCTGAAGTTCCCCTATGCTACTTCCTATGATGCTCACAAATGTCTCCCAGCAATCTGAGGCAGACTTTAGGTGAGCATAGGATGGTGCAAAAAAGGAAGGGAGAATCAACATAATTCCACCTCCTATTCCACTGATAGAAGCCTCAAAAGGACAAAATCTTTTTAAACCAAGGCACAATAATGGTTACAGGTGGCTAACATAAAGCTATTCTTTCTAATACATATGATGGATTGCATAAACTGCTTTAGAGTGTAACCCATCACCTTTTCTTTTTGTACTAGTAAATGGGGAGAAAAGCAAATAAACATATTATGGCTAAACCCTAAATTTTTGGCATTATAGTAATCTTACGTTATTCTTACGTATCAATAGGAATATTATTTTAGAAAACCACAGGGAGGGGGGAGGGGGAAAGATTACAGAACTGTTACAGACATTATGCTGTCAGTCTCTTAATCATGAACTACACACAGGTACGGTTTACCTAGATTAAATGTTAACATTTATAAGTTAAGAGAGGGGGAAAGGTACTGCCACATAGTGATGCAACAGCAGCTATACATTGGGATTATTTCAGACCTACATCTGTTCACTACGAAAGCCGATGAAAACACTAGCTTTTGAAAGGAAGTAGGGGCTCCTTCTTTGGAGGCTTTCAAACAGAGGCTGGACTACCATCCGTTGGGGATGGTCTGAATGGCGATTTTCCTGCTTCTTGGCAGAATGGTTTTGGACTGGATGGCCCACGAGGTCTCTTCCAACTCTATGATTCTATGACTTCCTAATCCAGTCCTGAGCCTATTTTTGGAGTGGAGGACAGTGTTCTGGCCTACTGGGTGGATCATGCAGGGAGAATATGGCTTATATCTGAACAACATCAAAGATAGTAATGGTTTTCTGAGCCTTAGTGATCCCCCACAAATTCCCTGAATGTTAGTCATTTGAAAGATTATATATTAGATTATTAAAAAGAAATATATTGCAATACACTACAGTTTATCATAAAGCTCTGATTTTAATACACAGGTGAGGTCTCTTAAATGAAGAGCAGAATACAAAAGTGCAGCAAAGAGCATTGGAGGAAGAGAGAGATTTTTATTATGTGGTTAGTAGTCAAGTCTGTTACCTTATTTAGGTTGTTAGAAATGTAAAAACAGTAAGACTAGTGACTTGGTGCAGAATCCCAGAACGTCTGTTGTTAGTTAAAGATCAATAAAGTGGTTGGTCCCGCATCCTGTACTGTAACACTGGTAACCTACCCTAATAGAGGAGAACTATCCTGGTTTTGAGGAAAAAAATCAACCTCTCCCTTCTCTGACCCTATGGAAAAGTATCCAGGCTGCCATGATAACCTTTGTTCCAAACAGACTTCCATGGTGCCATCTTGCAGGAACCTAGGGTTCAGTACAGCTGCTGTGCCAGATGCAGACAAAATACAGACCTCTTCACTATGGAAAAAGAAAAGCAGGTAAGATCTTGTTTTAGTGGCATACATATTATATTCAAGGAAAGTAAAAACAAGAGCAAGAGAATCACAACATGAAATCAGTTCAGAGTAAACCCTTTGGGAGATATGCTGAAACATTATGGCATGTGACTTTTTGCAAGTATATACCAAAACTGGTGTGGGCGTACAAAATAAACTGCATAGTTTAGAGACAGCTGTAAAAATACTATCAAAGCCTAGCATTCAGAGATACATGACAGTGCAATGTTCCAATTCAGAACCTTGATACACCAGTCAAATCATAACATGTAATAGATGAATTAGCATTTCTTTCACCCATTGGTAGAAGAAATTATGAGTGACTTCAGGACTATGGATGTGTACATCATAAACATTCACTAGTCAGTACATATAACATACATGGTAACTAATAACAAATACAGGGTTCCTTCACGTATCGCGGGGGTTACGTTCCAGGACCACCCGTGATAAGTGAAAAACCGAGAAGTAGGGACGCCTCCTGCCCCTCCCTCCTCACCCTCTTTACCTTCCTCTTCCTCCTTCTCATCACTGCATGGGCCACTTGGTGCTGCTTGGGCCCTGCGGTTGAGGAGGTGTCACGGGCTTCCGGTGGCGGAGAGGGGCCCGTGACACATTCCTTTACATTTCCTTGTTGCCACCAGGGCCTCTTGCTTCCAAGCGGCAGCAAGAGGCCCCAGCGGTGACGAGGAGCAGGAAGAGGAAGGTAAAGAGGGTGAGGAGGGAAGAAGAGCCACCCCCTCGATCTCTTTACCTTCCTCTTCTTCGTCGCCACTGGGGTCTCTTGCTGCCAAGCAGCAGCAAGAGGCCCCGGCAGCAATGAGGAGCAGGAAGAGCAAGGTAAAGAGAGTGAGGAAGGAAGAACAGCCTCCCCCTTGCCCTCTTTACCTTCCTCTTCATCATCGCTGGGGCCTCTTGCTGCGGAGGTGGCGCGAGGCCCAAGCAGCAGCAAGAGGCCCCTGACAAGGAGGAAGAAGGTAAAGAAGGCGAGAGGGTGACTCTTCTTCCCTCACTACAATGTTCCCTCGCTATGTAAAAATTTTATATATATATATTTTAAACGCAAAACAGCGAGTCTGCGGTAAGTGAACCACGAAGTAGTGAGGGAACACTGTACTTCCTTATCATGAACTAACCATTAGAATACCTGATCTTTTAATTTATTTGTTCCTACTCTTTAGAGCAGGAATGGGCAAATTTCAGCCCTCCAGATGTTTTGGACTTCAACTCCCACAATTCCTAACAGGCAGTAGGGCCGAAGTTTGCCCATGCCTGTTTTAGAGGCTCCATACTCTTCTGCTGTACCACAGGGCAAGAAGAGAGCTTCTCTATCTCTTTGAAAACAAAACAAATAAAGAGAGGCAAACCTTAGCAAAAAAAAATTTTTTTACTAGAGTCAGTAGCCACTCACTTTCATGTGCCTTCATAATATTTATGTCTGTGCATTCCTCCTCCCTGTTGCTGTAGCCTTGTTGATTACACAAAATAGTTACACATGCTACTTTTCCCTATCTTTATATCCTGCATCTTGACTATTAGTACTTTAAAAAATTATAGGGAATCACGAAAAGAAGGGAGAGTTCTATGGTTGGAGCACATTTTGCACACTTATAAAATTATGCCTCATTCTGAGGCATAAGGAAACCATCTCTTCCTGGAATATAGAGTAGCTTTAACTAAAGCCTCTGTAATTCCTTCCAGAGGCTGATCGAAAGCAAAGAGGTCAAGTACATCTCAATATATCAGATACTTCCTAGAGAGCCTCTCCTATCTGTCTGCCTCTCTGCCCAGTCTCTGTGGCAAAGCAACTATATAGCTATCATCCTAAGTCTTCTCTGTCCTCATTTCAGCCCTGCCTAAGAATAACTTGCTCCAATAATTCCTCCTGGCTTATTTTCTTTCCACTCTTACACTACTGTTTCCATGACTAAGTAGTCACTGCTAAAGCATTAGGAAAATCAGATACAAGTGATTTACCAAATGCTAGTTGATTCGCTGTAGCCCACTACTGCATGACAACCCAATGCCTTTGCATGAGATTTTATTTCTTGACGGATTTCTGCCCACCAAGCATCTCTTGTCTCTGGATCATCTGAAAGACAAAGCATAAATGACTTCACTATTATGCATTAATGCAAACATTTAAGACTCTGTCTAAAGAGAAGACATTAAATAAGAACTTTATTTATTAAACCTGGCAAAACCCCCTGAAAATGTAAGAGGGGTTCAGTGCCAATTTATCACTGCACCAATTTGGTAACCTTGCTTTCCCTTTGTGGGGTGGATTGTGTGAAAAATAACTATTCATTCTTTTCTTCTTTAATCCTCGGAGAGTACATTATTTCTGGAATTTGCTCTCTATAATTATAGGCTTTGCCCAAAGGAGGGCAATGCCATTATTACTCTCAACATTCTCAACCTTTTGTGATTTAAACTTACTTATGTATATGGCATCTTATGCTACTGAACAGACCTGTAGCACTTACAATCGGATTCTACCCCCAACTTTCTGTTTTAAAAAAGACATGCAAAATATTTTCTCTCACTTACCCATTCAACATCCTTTCAAAATAACCCTCATGGCCCAGATACAAAGCAACATAAAACAAGTTGCATGAGCTGCTCTAAGGAATCTTAAGATTTCTATGACAGCAGCTTCCATTATTTCATGATAAAATGTCCTTTGAAACGTAGGGTTTCAAAGACACAGTGCAACATGGCATGGTAGACAAAGAATGAAAAATGTCAAAAATTCTATTGGGCAAACAGTCCTTGTGCAAGCCTACGCTGGTTCTTGTTTTTGTATTATATGTAAAAATAAAACACCACATTTGCAGATATTCTCACCAGACAACCCTTATTTCCTATTTTATCCTCCTCGGTTTCAGGTTGAACTACTGAATTATCTAATCAGGCACTGTAGGACTGCACTGGTTTTAAAAAATTATTACAGCAATGATTCTATACACTTCATGAACACAATCTAAAACTCAAAGTAAAAAAAATCCATTTAGAGTAATTTTGATTAATACTGAAGTTCTAACTAAGGAATGAATAAATTAAGGGCAGCCATATTGAAGACAAACCCTGCCAAATATACGGGATATTAGAATTTCAAACGTGAAACATTAATGTGTATTAAATCTTCTAGAAACTAAATGGTCCCACTGAATACAAACAGAATGTATTCCCAATAAATGATTTTCAACTAGCATGACTGATTTATTGCAACAAAAATCCCCTATACATGCATCAGTAATAACACTGAGGATAATTGTTTGTAAGAGCTAGTGATTATGGAAAAAGTCAAAAGCTACTTTAACTCTCACCAAGAAAAATAGTTTTAAGAACAAGACTCACTAACCTAAAGGAAATAAATACAGCTGTCATTGACAAAAGCACAAGTTGGAAAGAGATACTAAAACAAAATTCTTTTTATAAATAAAGAGAAAAGCTTTGAGGCTTCCCATTCTACAGCATTTTTTATAAGAAGCTGCCATTACAAAAGTAAAATGCAATAATGAATTTCACCAAGTGCATAATTACTACCACAAATCTGAGTTAATGGTAACTTCAGCTGGCCCTTCTTTTCTCTAAAGCATACAGCAGTTCATCTGATCTTAAGTAGGACAGGGATGGGAACCTAGCATCCTCAAGAGGAAAAACTAGAACCCTGAAGAGTTGTATCTGTTTCAAGCGCCAACACAACAGACCTTGCTTGCCTAGAACTTGACTATACAGATAAGGGTCTTTGGGGATCATAATAAAATATTATTGTTGTTGTTGACTATACAGATAACAACTGTCAATAACCTAGAATCCAATGGAGTTGCCTTTTAATAGCCTAAAGACATCTGAATAAGAGATTTTATATGCATGTCCAGATTACAAGATACTTAATCCTTCCAATTCTATTAATTGCCTGAACACTACAAATGGATATTTCATAGAAACCCTTTGAGTGAACGGCTTGAAAATGTGCCTGTGCAATCGCTACCTTAAACTCTGTAATTCTGCAACGTTATATAACATTACTCACATTCTTTGATGGTGTGCTAACTAAGCAAAAATACATTTACTGATATTGTGCATCTTGATCTGCAAACTATTAAAATAGGAAAATAATCTCCATCTGTGTAGCTTCTTTTTCTGTCCCAAGAATAACATTTGCAATATGTCCCTGAACCAAGTATTCTATCCATTTCTATTATAACACATAATACAGGCAAACATGTTCGTAAAGTGCAACCACTACTTCAATGGCTTTCTTCTGCTATTTTTAAACAAGTGAGGTTGGACTACTGCTGCCATCATCTTCAACAATTAATGCTGGATGCAAATATCTAGAGAATCATGGGTTCTTGTGTTGTGCTATATCTGGATTACAGTCTTCCTTTGAAATTGTATAGTTTTGCACTGTTTCCATCAGCCAATTGATGAAAAATGGGGACCATCTAGGTCAGTGGTTCTCAATCTGTGGGTCCCCAGTTGTTTTGGCATTCAGCTCCCATAATTCCTAACAGCTGGTATACTGACTGGGGTTTCTGGGAGTTGTAAGCCAAAAGGAAAGAGCAATGGGCAAGATTGTGATTAAAGTGGTCTTTTTCCCTTTTCCCTATTTTTTTTAATAAATGAGAAATAATTTTATTAATCCATCACAAGTCTGAATACGATGGGGTACAATAGCTAGAATTCAGTAAGGGACTTGTGGCTGCAGGATCTAAGAACTGAGCAGTTTTGCAATTACTTTAGCAAGGGACTGCTGTGGCATTACTACATAAGGGAGCTGGTAAACTATTGTGTGTTGGGGTCAGTGGCATTAGACACCCCCCAAGCCCATTCAGAAAATGGCTAGAGGTTGCTGATGTACACCAGGACAGTTAGAGAGTGCCAGTGCCCACCAATAGAACCCAATACATACCAGGAACTCTTACTGTTGCCCTGATATGTATCCTCACAATTCACTTAGGATTGTTGTGCAGCACAACTGCTAGGCGTAAAGTTAAGCAATGCAGGCTATGATACAGAATGACAGCCAATACAATGACTATTTATTTATTTCTATGCTGTATTTATACCCTGCCCTTCTCACCCAGAAGGGGACTCAGAGTGGCCTATAGCTATCCTCCCAGCAGGATCCTAAGCTTTATAATCATCTGCTAACATTAAATATCCGAATCTTGCATGCCTAGTATGAAAAAATGTCTTGTGTTTAAAAAGTGTGGCACTGGTGAAAGTTTTGCCTAACTTTCTAAACCATCAACTGGGAGTAAATGCACAGAACAGCAAACTAGGGAGGATGGGTCAGGATGCAAGAAGGAAGAAGAGGGCAGAAAGAGAAGGGGGCAGGGAAGACACACAAAGTGAGGAAATAAATGAAAGACTATAGAAATAAATGAAAGTTGCACTTGAAAATGCTAAGGCAAACAGAAGTGTTCAAAAGAAAAACTTCAGAAATAATGCCGAAGATTCCAAATCCTGACACCCAGTATAATTTTTGAAACTAGTGTGCTTCAGCACACATGGAGCATTGTGTAGCACACATGTTTTCAGAACAAGAGACTTTCTTTTCCTGGTTAACTCCATTTAAATCTGTAATTTTCTTGTAGCATTCTCACTATAAAATTGAGCATTCCTTATCAAAAATCCTTAGGACTAGACCATTTTCATATACTTTTTTTATTATTTTGGAATACTTAGATATGTATAATGAGTTATAGGACCAAAGTCTAAACATGAAATCCATATGTTTCATATAGATCGTAGACACATAGGCTGAAGAAAATGCGAAAAAACAAAATTTGAAAAACCAAAGTGTCCACATAGGTCCCTATTTCAGCCATTTCCGTGGTCAATTTTGGATTTTGGAAGTATTTTGGAATTCTGGATATGGGATGCTCAACCTGTACTTGCAACAGTTCACAATCATGTTTGTGGGTAATACCCCATATACTTAAAGAGGATTGAATAGGTGTCAGTGGATTAAAAACTATAAACATAAAAACCAGGGAATAGTGTGGGATCATGGTTAGATACCACACTGCATCCCAGAAAATGGAACAGATTGCAATGGATCCGTGAAAGGCTACAAAGATCACCAGATTTTCTTGGAAGTGGAATCTGCTCCACAATGTTCAAAAAGTCACATGCAAAACCACAAAGTTTTAAAATGAAACATCTCCCCTACTATTATAATATGCTTTCTTACAGATATTTGTCCTTTGCAAGAGTAAATGGGTTTTTTTTTTCAGGTTTAGCTTTTGCTCCTGAAGATTAATAGAATAACTTTGTATGTATACAGAGTGTGTTGCATATTTAAACAATATAAACACAAACTTACCTTTATGTGTTAAAAGATAAAAACAAGTGCGATAAAAATCAAGACACCACAACATGGCAAAAGGAGTTTTTACAAAACACTGGAATGCAGTGCAATGTGGAGCATTCTGTTCTTTTTTTTCTGACATACAGGTTCACAAGCAGCCTTTTTTTTTGTTTTTTGGACGCATGAGCCACACAATTTTACATGGAGATGCCATCGGAGCATTTACACATTTAAGTAAAGCTAAGGAATTACATAAACAATAAGAGGGATTAGGAGGGGGACAGCGGCAAGATGGCATGTGTCCAGCGCACTTTGGAAGAGTGTCGCCTGTTCTGTTCCGGGCTGAAGCAGAAGCTTAAAGAACTCAGGGTTTGCAAAGCAGATTCAGCATACAGGAGCCAGAAACGGTGGGTATTTTGGCGCATGCTTGGATCAGGTGACAGTACAGACTGAAAACTATGGCAGCTCACTGAAATGGTTACAGAAAGTAATGGCCCTGGAGTCTAGGTGAAGCAAAAGGCAAGCATACAAGAGCACTCAATCACAAGCTTTTCTGGCTAGATACTGTTCAAGTGGGTTTATCAAGGGGGACCTAAAAACTTTATGGTGAAGATTTATATTGAAATTACCAATTGTAAGAATACTTCAAGCCTTGCAGATTGATAAAGTACTGGAAGACAGATGTCTTGGTCAGTAGACATACAGCTGGAAAAGTATTGCTTTTAAAAGTCACTTGTAGTTGTAATCAACTACTGTAGGCTGATTCA